AATAGTGACCGTGGTCTTAAAACCTGGCAGATGGTTATCTAAGATACAGCCATTGCTCTCTCCTCATCTAGAATAAAGGACCATGAAGAGAATTTAAGACACATGGAACTAATTCATCCAGTGGATAAATGGACCATATGAACGTCCATCTCCAAGACCCTGATATCCTAAGTACTAGTGCCTGTCTAGCACTGCTAATAGCTCTGAAAGGGGTCCCATTAGAAGGCCCTGGATAATGTGGAGGAGTCCTGGTGATATAGGGTTTATGTGTTGGGCTGTGACCCAAATGGTTAGCAGCACCAAACTAATAGCTGCTTTACTCCTGTAAAGAGTAAGCAACTACAGTAAATGACAACTCCTGTAAACAACTACATTTCCATTTGTGGGGACCCACGGGCAGGGGGGTTCACTGCGAGTCAGCATTGACTCGATGGCAGTGAGTTTGGAGTTTGGGGTTTGGAGAGAGGAGAAAAATGTGGAACAAAACCCAAAGTCATAAGAAAGTTCAGGCTTATTGGTCAGATGGGGACGGGCAGCCCTCAAGTCACCCTTCAGACCTGGAACTGAACGCCCTTCTGTGGTTTAATCTTCAGCCAAATAATAAATGAACAATAGCACGAGGAGGCATGCATTCCTTAGAACAATCAGCCATTTGCCATCAAAAGGCTTTTGATCAGCATTTACCCAAGGAGAGAGTTTAGCCAGGTTACGAGAGAGGAAGGGCTAGGAACAGGAAAGTCAGGGGGGAAGTGAGATAAGCCGTGTTTCGTTGTGGGGAGCGCACGAGGAACTAGACGCACGTAAGCGATTGAATGGAAGACCGATTGGCGCTGGACACTGTCAGCCAATTCACAATAAAACATTAAAAAAATTTTTTTTCTTCTTAAAAAGTTAGTTTTGGTAATTTTTCTCAGGTTCTTGACTCTTGCAATTTAGTGTTCACTTTTATGACTATTATTCTCATGTGGGTAATAAAAGATCTGTTTTATATTTTTATTCTGTCTACCTAAAAAACCAGTTCGTCTACACCAGCACAATTGAGAACAGACTGTAACATCGATGTTCCTTGTTGCCTGGCTTGCTGGTAACCTTCCCATAATTCATATTCGATGCAGACAAGCCTACGAGATCAGACAAAACCGGCCTATTTCCCTCTCACAAGTACAGACAGTCCCTCAGGCTGAGGGGGCTGGGGCAGAAGTGCATCCTAGGTCTGCGGCTGCTGCCTCACCAACACCAATGGTTTGCATGCTGCCACCGTGAGGGGACAAGTCCCACTGTCTCATCTCCTGAGTGGAACTTTTAGAACTTACAGGGCAGTACAACTCGTCAGGAAGGTGTGATATAAACCCAACTACATTTCTATTTGTGGGAAATATAAAAGGTGTTCTTGTAAATTTTATTTGAAATCTGCTTTAAAAACAAAGGCAACAAATGTACAAATGTGCTTGACACAATGGATGGATGGATTGTGATAAGAGTTGCACAAGCCCCCCAAAAATGATGAGGACAAAAAAGATGGAGTCTGCTTCTGTAAGGTTTACAGCTTCTGAAACCCTGGGAGCAGTTCGACTCGGTCCTAGGGGGCTGCTGGCTACGAGTTGGAATTGACTTGAAGACAATGGGTTTGGTGTTAGCTTGGCAGTGTTGATTGATATTTACATTGTGTTCAGTTTTTGATGATGATGACCAGCACTGCTATAAATATGAATGTGTAGGTTTTTGAGTGAACTAAGCTTCCATTTACTCTGGGCAAAGGTCTGGAAGTGAAATTGCTTGGTCATAGAGTCAATGTATATTTAACTTTGTAAAAAACTCCAAAGTGACAGCACCACTTTGTGTATCCGTTAGCAATAGATGAGGTTCCCACCTAACTGGGAATACAGTGAACCCTCATTTATCGCGGTTAATCGGTTCTAGACCCTACCGTGATAAATGAAATTCCGAGAAGTAGGATTCCTTATTTGTAAATCAAATATTTTCGTAGTTAGAGCATAGAGGACAATGAAAAAACACCCTTTAGTCACCATTACACTCGTATTACCCAATTTATTAAACGAAAAAGGGAAAATACAGTAAAACATTTTGGACGTTACAATGATCATTTACTATTTATTATATTATTTATGGCATCTAGTTTACAGTATTACATATTTCACATACAGTATTATTATACATAGTTCTTACAAATACTGTAATCAATAGCCTATGAAATGACTTAAGGGATGTACTCTACAGGTGAGTCACCGTCTTTTTTCTCTGAAGGAGCGGGTGTAGGCAGTGGGTGCTGTTACGCAAAAACCGCGATAGAGTGAAGCCGCGGAAGTCGAAGCGCGAAGTGGTGAGGGTTCACTGTATTGGGTTTTTAAGTTCTTACTATAGATTCCTGAGAGTGCTTTATATATTCCGGATACAAACCCTTTGTCAGACATAAGATTTGGAACTACTTCCTCCTAGTCTATAACTTGTCTGTTTCTAGCCATTTTAACATTGTTCTGTTTCTCTGGTCTAGAAGAATTTTAACCTAGTAGTTAGCAAACGTTTCAACCTTTTTTTTTTATCATTTCAGTTGTTTGTATGCAAAGGATTATCAAGTGAAAAATACAACTTTCCTCTAGTTCCTAAATGCTTCCTCCCTCCCCCTACTATCATGATCCGAATTCTACCTTGCAAGTCTAGCTAGGCCAGAGGGTGTATACTGGTACAGATAGGAACTGGAAACACAGGGAATCCAGGGTGGATGATCCCTTCAGGACCAGTGGTATGAGTGGCGATACTGGGAGGGTAGAGGGAGAGTGGCTTGGAAAGAGGGAACCAATTACAAGGAACTATATGTGACCTCCTCCCTGGGGGATGGACAACAGAAAAGTGGGTGAAGGGAGACGTCGAGCAGGGCAAGATATGACAAAATAAACAATTTATAAATTGTCAAGGGCTCATGAGGGAGGGGGGAGTGGGGAGGGAAGGGGGGCGGAGGAGAACCTGATGCTGGTGGCTTAAGTGGAGAGCAAATGTTTTGAGAATGACGAGGGCAATGAATGTACAAATGTGCTTTACACAACTGATGTATGTATGGGTTGTGATAAGAGTCGTATAAGCCCCTAATAAAACGATTAAAAAAAAAGGATTATCAAGGTTGTACCCATCTTCCTTATTATTATCTATTAATTTTTGGTGTTTAAAAAAATAAAAAGCTATCAACACATATTAAACTGTTTATCTTTCCTATCCAAAACAAACAAACAGAAGCAAACAACAGGCTATTTAAAAAGTCTAAGATGCACAATGACTTAGAGAAAATAAAAAATGTTTTAGAAAATAAATACTTTAATTGCTTGATATGAGTAACCCTCTGTAATGCTCACTGGCTAGTGACTAGTGCATATTAGCTGGATAGCAATATTCAAGCCATCCCATCACCCAGCATCCATCATTATTAACAGTTTCTTCTTGCCAGTGACTTTTAAAAGGCAAAGATTTATACAATCTGGAGAGAAACTAGAGGATTTCTAGTTATTTTTAGAGGAACACTAGTAGCATGGTGATTATGCACGGGGCTGCTAACCACAAGGTTGGCAGTTCGAAATCACCAGCTTCCCTGAAACAGAAAGATGAGGCGTTCTACTGCCACGTAGAGTTAGTCTCAGACCCTCACAGGGAATAGCAATTGTTTTATTTTCGTTTTGAGTGAATTTTAAAAATGATACATTATAGGCTGAGTTCTTTTTTAAAAAATTATGACAATAAATGCTTTGTTTTAGATCGCATGTGCCCACCCCCTGGGGGAAGTTTATAGAAATTTAGAGTTCTTATTCAATTAGTGGAGAGTAATTAAGGACTACAATTTTTACTTTAGGAATTTAAAAATAAAAGCATTAACAGCTACAACCCAGTGACCATGTATGTCAGAGTGGAACTTTGTGCCCTAGGTTTTTAATCGCCAATTTTGGGGAAGTAGGTTGCCAGACCTTTCTTCCAATGTGCATCTGGGTGGGCTTGAATATCCAAACTTTTAGTTAATAGCCAGTATGTTAACTATTTGTACCACCCAGGACTCTAAACTGACTATAGAGGCTATCAATAAATGATACTCCCTCTTCCAAGTCTATGTTGTCAACCTTGCTTATCTTATTCTGGTTGGAGGCTCTGCTTGGCATTATGCATGGCATTGATTAACATAAATAAGAGGGCATAGCAATTGTTGAATCAAACTCTTCCCATGCCCTCAGGAAACCGTTACTCCTGTTACTTTCTCTGGGGGTTACCTATGTTGGCGTTCATGCATTGAATGATATGAATGAACATATAGTGGTTAGTACTCTGTATTGTGGCAAAATCTTTTAAAGGAAAAGATCCATGAAATAAAACAGTAAGATATGGGGCCTCCAAGGTTTTCTTGAAAGAAGCCAGGAGCTACTAGGAGGGGCCTTTGGAAAGTTGGTGGAAAATGCCATTTTCTACAAACGTTTTTGAAGGCCCCTCATACAGGTAAACAGCATGGCATCACTAACTGACTTCACTGGGATGGAGGGCGGGGTTCCTTTCAGATGGTTCCCAGTAGTGGTGAAAGCTTTAACCCTGAGACTTTTCGACCTGGCCCGAGCTCATCTGAGAACAGATAAGCTACTTCAAGGTGGTTGACTTGGGTTAGGGTCAGGACTCGATGACATGTATTATCTCGGCCAATTGGCAACCTAGGCTGAGCAGTGGGGCCGGGGAACAGCCAACCAAGTGTCATGGGGCAGGTGGTGACGACTGAGGGCTGATTGTTAGTACTATAACTTCCTAAATATTTATCCCAATACCACTACCTTCCTTCAACGAGGAGCCTGATCCATCCCTCAGGGTATGCCTGTGTGTAAGCGAGGGCGGAGAGGGGCAGGGAGAGCTGGGCAGCAAGGACCACCTTCACGTCCTCATGTCCTTCCTAGATCTTCTATGGCCCCTGAGCTCACATTTCTTCTCTCCTGGTCCCTTTTCACCCGTCTCCACATTCACAGATGGGGTGGCCGCCTTCCGCGCCTTCCTGAAGACGGAGTTCAGCGAGGAGAATCTGGAGTTCTGGCTGGCCTGCGAGGAGTTCAAGAAGACCAGGTCAACTGCGAAACTGGTCTCCAAGGCCCATCGGATCTTTGAGGAATTCGTGGATGTGCAGGCTCCCCGGGAGGTGTGTTGGTGGCGGTGACTGTCTCACAAGCCTTTGCCTATGGTTTCTGGCCCACTGTCCGCTCCTCTGCGGAAATCTGAGGCAGCTGGATGGGGCCTTTCTTAGACCGAACCATTCTGATGGTTACTCTTTATGCTAAGTGAGTGATTTTTAAGGCTGCGAGGCCGGGTGGCATGGTGGTTTAAGTGGCTTGAACACATGTGGGAGAAAGATGGTTGCTTCTGTGAAGATACTCCGAAACCGTCCTTCCATCGACTCTGACTCATAACTAGCCGACAGGAGGGGGCGGCGGGGCCGGCTCTCTGTGTGGGTTTCCCAGACTGGAGCTCCTTAGGAGAGCAGAAAGCCTTAGCTTTCTCCCAAGGAGTGCCTGGTGGGTCCGAACTACTGACCTTGTGGGCAGCAGCTCAACATGTAAACCACTATGCCACCAGGGCTCCTTTGACATTAACAACAACAAAAACATCATCATCATCAAATTAAATCCTACGTATTGCTGTTGTGAGATATAAAACAGAATTTTCCCTGGGAGGATTTCTTGGAAGAAGAATATTTGCTGGTCTGTGAGCTTAGGTCCATGAAATACCTGGAACTTTTCAGTTAGGGTTTGACTCGGGGGACGTGAACTCTTGGGCCAGTTGACCAGGAGGCTGCAGGCCTCTTATGGTACTGGCTGGAACAGAGACATTCGTTCTAATCAAGATCTCTCTTCCCTTGGGTATCCGTTTCCTTAGTAGTACGGAGAGGACAAGAGGCAATCAGCTTGCTTTAGGAACCAGTCACACACATTTGGTGTGACTCTCACCTTTGCCTGGCAGTATGAAGAGGCCAGGAGGAAGACTCGGGTGACTGGGGGGCTTTGCCTTGGTTCTACGACCAACTGCCCATGATGCTTCAGGCAAGCTCTTTAGTCCCTCTTATGAACTATGGTTGAGAATATCGGCTCTTCTGACCTTGTGGGGTTCTGACAGTGATCAAAAGCCATGACCTTCATAAGAGCATTTTGGAAAGCATCCATGGTTTGATTGATAGAAGATGCTGCCATTACGTAATTTCTATCTAGCCAGGGCTAACTGCCAGGAACCTTGGCCTTTGCGGGCCTGTGACCTCGCTCTTCGCTTGTGTCTCCCAGGTCAACATTGACTTCCAGACCCGAGAAGCCACGAGGAAGAACATGCAGGAGCCCTCCCTGACTTGCTTTGACCAAGCCCAGGGCAAAGTATACAGCCTCATGGAGAAAGACTCGTACCCCAGGTTCTTGAGGTCCAAAATGTACTTAGATTTGCTGTCCCAAAGCCAAAGGAGGCTCAGTTAGGCTTCAGATGGGGACTCATGGAAATCACCGGCTTTCCCCTTCCCTGGCTGCCAAGACCATAGTCTAACGTGAAATAGCCTAGGTGTTCAGAAGAAGGGAACACCTTCTCCTGGGGTGGGAGTCTGGAGATAAGGGATGAAGGGTCATTCCAAAGCATGACCCAGCTGTCAGGGCCCGAGAGCTATTCCCTTTACCCATGTTTGTGTTTTGGTTAGTGGTAGCACCTTGCCATGGTCACCCTTTCCTGGGTCACCACTTGCCCTTCATAACACCTTGGGTCATCTCCGCTGAGAAGGCAGATTCGCTATGCTGGGCTAATCTGTAAATAATGCCAATGCAGTTTCTAATCCCTCGATGCCCTCCGCAGTTAGATGTGCGGACTCTTCACTTGTCCTCTACCCCTGGGAGCAGTAGCTGGGAGGCTCTGCCCATCCTGGGACCTCATGGATCTGTGGATCCCATGTGTCTAGCACTGTCACTGACCGCTGGCCTCTGAGAGATGGGGGAAAACTCCATGTGGTTTGGCTGGTTCTTCCGTTTCTATTGGACCAATGTAAAAAGCTGTGACCACTGCCCATGTTAGCCTAGGAAATTCCCAACACTCCCTGACCCTTGCACTTCCAGAAAGGGCCTGGGGGAGATGTCCTACAGGACGTGAGGCTGCTATTAGGGAAGGTGCAGCATGTGACTCTTCTCAATTTTTACCAAGAAGTTTTCTAGAAGCTGAATGACCAGGGAATGTAGCACCAGTAGATTTTTGTGCAATGGGACACCACATAACCTGTCTGTTGCTTAATGTCAATCTTTACTCACACCTCCCTGTAGGGTGGGGCATCACCAGTCTCTTAGGATGACCGACGGCTTGGCAAAGGGAGGTGACTCCCTGTCTCCCCTCCTTCCCTTCCATGCAGGTCATGTGATTATGGTGGGGGAGGAAGGGAACCTAGGCTTGCTTCCTGGGAGCATGCATTCTCAGAAAGGCCCCTCTCATGAGGGTCCCCCTGGCTACTCAGCAGCTTCCCTCTGGATCTCTGCGGAGTGTGGCTCAGAAGATCACTGTGAACACCTGGCTTGGGGACAGTGGGCCTGGCCATGAGAGTCTTCCAGAAATGCTTTTCCGGACTCCCGGGTTGCTGCTGAAATGTGTCGAGAGCTCTGCCTTGAGAGTGAGTGAGCAGCTTCCCTATTCCACTTACTTATAAACAGCCAACTTTAGCACGAGAGAAGCGCCAAGGGATTGAATCCTCAGAGAGACGAGAGAGCAGAGAAGGATCTTGGAAGAGGGTCTCTGGGGGAATGGAGGAGTTACTCCTGAGATCATTTGTGGCTAATGGATCCAGGTCCTGGATTCAGTGCAGGTTTACAAGACCATAAGCTTGACCAAATGGGACAGCCGACGGGATTAGGCACCAGCTCTGGAATTCAGGCAGAGAAGAGCTGGGCTGAAGTCCACTCCTAGGTCAGGCCTTGTACTCCTGTTCAGTGAATCTCTGAATGACTTCTCTCCTTGGCAAAGGTGGACAGACCAGGAAGGCCCTCGAGTCCCCCTTGTGTTCAGGCCCATCCACCACCTGCACAGGGTCATCTAGCGTCTGGGGCACGGCCTCTAAGAACCATCGAGCAGAGCGACAGCAGAGCCTTCCAGCCCGGATGCTGAGACCTGTGCAGTTTTACTTTCAAGGACTGTGAAGCCTCCAATGGGGTGTCTGGTTAGACTGGGTAGTATCCCTACACACTAGTTAAGAAGGAGGAGAAAAAACATTGTTAGCTAATGCTGCCAGAATTAATGATGAAATTTCCTAACAGGGTATTCTAAACATTGTTTACATATGAAATGTGCGTCTGCTGCCAACTCTCCTGTGGACGGCGAGGTGCGTGCAAACTGGAGCCGCACAGAGTAATGGGGATGGCCAATGCTTTCACCACTTCCACTGTCCCAAGGAGAAAAGACCGAAAAGACGATTGCATGGTGACCGTGCTGGGGGCCCAGCGTGCTTGCCAACGACTGGTGGGGCAGAGGCAGTGGTGTCATGGCGCCTTGGTGACTTCCTCCCGTGATGAAGAGGTTTGAAGGACCAAGGCTGGGGTGCTGGGTGCAGCTGAGCGAGGGTATGTGGGCGTGTGTCTTTGTGGAGGAATGTGATCGTGATATTTATAGTTCGTCTGTGGAGCATCCGTGTGCGCCTGCGTGCGTGACAATTGTGAACCTTCAACCAGTGTAACCACAGAGATAGTCTTCCTATGTGGTGGGGCTCTCCCACTCCCTTGATGTCTTGCTTCCCTCCCAAGAGGTACAGAGCTCCCCACTCTGATGCCCACTCTTTGGCACGTTGGTCACGCCGGCCCAGGTTCTGGTCTGTGATGAAACAAAGAGACATGTTTACAACATCTAGAGCAATATCCAAGCATACCTCATCCCTGGCCTCAGTGTCTCCCAGCCCTGCCCCCTCCCTCATCTCCTCTTCCACAGGCCCTCATCCGCCTCTCTAGGTTGGCACCCCTGGGTGTTGCAGTTTATGTATTGTCTTCCTGTGCTCCTTATGCCGGCATGTGCTGTGGACTACTTTCTGGGGTGCGGGGAGCTCGCTCTGGGCCTGGGACCTTTGCGCCAGAGGCAAGGCAGCGGGCGGTGCTGGGACATCTAGGTGGGCTCTCAGCCCCTGGGTGGTCTTTGGGAGTCCTCACTAGAAAGCCTGTTACAAATCCTGTTTCTTGGCTGCCCCCCCAAGCAATGTTGAACCAGCAGACCTCGTGTGGGACCCAGAAGTCGGCATTTTTAACACACCCTCGGTGGTGTAGTGGTCGGAGGTCCAAACTTGAGAAACAGCCCCGGAGAAGTGACTCGCCACTTTGGCTGCTAATTATGCATATAAACCTTGGGAGTTTTAGGAAACCCAACTATCAGATCCAGTTCTAGAGCCCATGAGAAGCCCTGGGGAAAGAGACGAAGTCCTTGGTGATTTCTTTAAGGAGCTAGGGGAAAGGCAGAGGTGGGCACAGGCACAAGTGTGAGGCCAGAGGGACAGAGCACATCAACATGAAAACAAGCAGAAGTACCGGGAACGTTCCCAGCCTCAGAACTCAACTTCCTCTAAGTCCTTCCCCACACAAGCTGCATGCACTCTGTTTGGCAGCAGGAACGCCCACCTGCTGGGGCAGGGAGCTGAAGGTCCTGCGAGTTCCCGTGGCGTGTAGTCCTAGCCTGGTTCACAGTGCTTCCTCCAAACTCCCCCTGTGGGCTGCTGCTTGCCCCTGTTGGTTTCGTGCTAACTCAAGTTTGACTGCTTTACGTTTAGCCGATGCCTCTGTTCCTAAGGCCATGCAGCAGGGTAGGGTGGAACTCGGGTAGTCAGGGCAGAGTGTTGTGGTAGGAATCGTTGCCATGCTAACACAGAAACTTCTGAATTTCTCCACGGAGGGGGTTCCTGAGGCCACAGTGGGATTTGGGTCCTTGCTCCAAGAGCTTACCTGTCCCCCTTTGGCCCCAGCCAGGAGGGGTAGCCAGGGGGTTCCCAGTGGACTTTCCCCACTGGTGCTCTCCCCAGAACTTGCTGCTCTGAGCAAACCAAAGCTGTGAAAAGGGGTTCTGCCAGGCAGCAGGCCCAGTCTCGGGGTGCAGGCCGGCCCTGTCTGTGTGTCTCCTCAGCTCCGCTGGGTGTCTGGCTTCTCCAGACCCTAGGCTGTGGAGAGGCTTATCCTGCTGGGAGGAAGTGGTGTGGGGCTTTGAGCCGAGAACTGCGGGAGGGGAGGGCGGCAATGGAGATGACAGAAGAGAAGGAGCCAGGCATGGAAGACAAGACGCTTCTGTGGAGTCTGCCTCTCTGTGAACCAGAAGGGAGAGTGGGCTGATTCCGAGGTGGGAGGCTCTCCTGTCACTAAGACTGCCCAGAACTCTTCCTCTCACCTGGCCTGCGGCCACTTTCAAGCAAGGCAGAGGGCCTCACCTTCCAAGTGTCAGCTCTCTCTAAACCTGCTTCCCTCTGCGTCAGAGCTGAGACCCTGTGCCCCTTGCCGGACGCTCGTGGAGCAAGTGGCTGAGAACAGATGTGTCCTTGGCCCCGTGGCTTCCAGGACTCCATAGGATGCTGGGGACCAAGATGGGAGACTTCCAGGTGGCACCACTGGCCTCCCAGGTGTGGGGCTCAGTTCCTCTCCATAAACTGTCCCCTTTCTGATCCCTACTCCTCGGGGACCCTTCTGCTCCCTCCCCCTGCTGGGTGCGGAAAAGGAGGCCGGGCTGAGGGGGTGCGCTGCGAGCACTGTAGAATTAGCCGAGTCACGCGGCGCGCACGGCAGCCGCGCAGCCGCTCACCTGCCATACAAAGCGCGTGGCTGTTCCGTGGCCGCGTACCGTGGAATCATGTCATTCACCTCTACTCGACACCACGCTGTGAGCGCATAATAAACAGATCCTGACCAAGCTGCCCTTGCGTGCTGTGCCCACGTTTCTGGCCGCCGGACTCTTTATGAAAAAACTTCCAATAGCATCTGGCCGCTCCGCAGGCAGGCAGCCTCAGCCTGGCCCGGGCTGTGTGTGTGGAAGAGGGGTGGCGATGGTGGGGGACGGACAAGCGGGTGGGGAGACTGGGTACAGGCACTCTATAAATGCTAGGTGGCATTTTTGCTGGTGCCACCTGCTGCTGGGAAACACGGGGCGGGAGGCGGCTGCAAGCTGGCTGGCAGATTTGCGCAGCCTCAGGGGTCTGCACGCGAGCCCTTGGGCATGCCTCCCCTCAAGCCACCCAACATGGGCCACCACCCTCACGTCTCTCTGATGAAGGAGACAGACAGCTCCCCCGTGGGAGGGGCTGAAGAATAAGGCACAGTCTCTGTCGCCTCAAAATTCCGGTAGGGGACAGAATCTTAACCATCCAAATAATGTTAAGTCTAATTTTAAATCTGCCACGGGCTCTGAAGGAAAACCCAAGCTTCCACCAAGGTGGATATTATCAGGTTAGGGGAGAAAGCCTGCAAGAGACCACTCCCAAATTCTTGCTCTGCCATTTGGGGGAAATTCTAACCTTTCATTCTTTAAGCCCCGGGCCACTCCCTGGGGGTTGTACGTGAGCTGACATCACACCTGCCCCTGGGCCTCCTCCCTCCGGGGCGCTGCAGGTCCTTCGCCTCCTTCAGCAAAGGAACTGGTGCCTCATCTGTCCTCGCCTCACCGCCCCTCTCTTCTGCAGAGGGCCAATAAGCCCATCTTGTTTGGACCTGCTCCTGAGCAGGAGAAGCAAACCAGTCACAGTTGGGGATTGTGTGTCTGCAGGAAGCAGCCCTATGGGCCTTTCACCTGGCCTGGTCGCCAGTGGGGACAGCCTGTGTGCAGCCCATGGTCCGGGAGGCCCTAAAGAGCAGGGTCCTTTCTAAGCTGAAAGCATCTTCCTGGTCCCTTTGAGGCTGTAAATCTATCGGAACAGAAAGCCTCATCTTTTTGTCTTGGAGCAGCCGGTAGATTCAAACTGTTGACTTTGAGGTTAGCAGCCCGATACATACCCCGCCATGCCACCAGGGCTCCCACCAAAGGAACGCCTATTTACAGACATGCTTGTATCCAGAGGCTAGGATGCCAGCACACATATGGGAGGGCTAGGAAGGGTGACACGATTGTATCTATAACAGAGACTCTCTGTTTGTCCAGCTGAGGTTCAAACACCAACTCATCACTCATAACTTGCCAGGCCTCGGCCCAGGTACTAAGGTCTCCACACCTCGGTCTCCTCGGCTATCAACAGGGAACAAAAACGGCTATTGTGAGTGTTCAGCAAGCCACACCCATTAGGTGCTTAGGTTATTGGTGTGCACACATGGCAATCCTTAAGAACTGCTGGTTATTATCATTAACCAGAATTCCAATTAAGATGATATTTGTGTAGGCAACCCCTTGAGTAAGAACAAAAGACTCAGGAAACCACTCTCTTGGGTTTCCCATGCCCTCCTCTTCTGTCATTAGTCCCCTGACCCAGCCCATGAGCTCTCTGGTCACTGTTGGGGAAGAAAAAAATCTAGTGTCACCTTCTGTCAGGTCACAGTCCTGGTTCAGTACTCAGTATGTCCAATGTCAATTCCCCGCCCCCCAATCCACTGACATCAAGTCAATTCTGACTCACAGCCACCCCACACAGGGTTTCTAAGATTGTAAATCTTTACAGGTACGGACATTTGTGTGTCTCTCTCAAGGTGTAGCTGGTGGGTTTGAACAGCTGATCTTGGGATAAGCAGCGTGACACCTAATCCACAGTGCCACCAGGGGTCCTGTCTAGTGTAGTATGATTATGATAAACTTGATCTGAATGTAAAACTAAAACCTCTCTCAAAACGAGTGGCCTCAGCTTGGCCCTGCTGCACACAGAGAGAAGGCAGCAGCCACCGGGCCCGTGGACACAACAGTACAACAGTTTTCACTCTGCCTGGGTGTGCTCTTCTGTTCCTCCACCGTCACTGCCGCTTGGGCTTTCTGAACCCTCTAAGCCAGAGTACAGCATGGAAGGGCAGGCCAGGCAGTAGAGGGTTAGTACTTGGCCTACCTACTCTCAGGGCTGGACAGACTCAGTATGTCCGTTGGAGACCCCTTCTCTGTGGTCTCGTCCCATGCACGTCTCTGGAAGAGGCTCACTGCTTCCAGCTCTGGCCAGCAGCTTGTTCCTGGCTGGGCAGCTCTCCCCCTTTTCTCCGTGGCCGCCTGTGTGCTCCTCTGCAAGCTGCTCTTGGGAGCAGGTCTGAGGATGACCCCATGCCAGGGCTCTGTCTCGAGGCTCACAAGCCGCCTGTGGGAAGCATTTGGGCCACAGTTGCTCCTAGAACTACGAGGTGGCTGCTACTTGCCAGAGTCCCTGGGCTTTCCAGAATAGTCAGTCATCAACCTTCTGGAATCCTGGACATCAGGAAGTACAAGGTCTCCAGGGGCTGATTGTGTCCATTCTCACTGTGAAGGACGTGAGAGACAATCCCTTCCCAGTGGGGTGGGACGCATAACACACTAACACCTTTCCCCCAAATCTCCTTCATGGCTTTACAAGTCTTACCTGGCTGGTCTTTTTCTTTGTAGCTGCAGCTTGTGAGTGTTCTTCCAGGAGCCTCTCCACTCCCTCCCTGAGTTAGTCACTGCTTGATTTAGAACCCACCAGACTTTGGACGCGCTGTCAGGAGAGGCTAGTCCCTAGAGAAAGACATGCTTGGAAAAGGGTCGATGAAAAAGCGAAGGCCCGCAGTGAGATGGATTGGCACAGTGGCTGCAACAATGGGCTCACACATAAGAACAATTGTGAGGATGGCACAGGACCAAGTAGTGTTCTGTTATACATCGATAGGGTCGTTGTGGGTCAGAACCGACGCAATGGTGCCTAACAACAACAACAATGGGCCCTGGAATCTATTTCCTAGGCTTGGGCAGAGTCTCTTGGACCTGTAAAGGTTTTAGCATTATCCCAGTAAATTGATGGACAAGGTAAGTGAGGGTCTTTCTGATTCTATCTGCATCAACAAAATTTAAGACTCATGGCTTGTAGGGAGACTGAAAAAGTGGATATTGAGATAATTTCCTTCCATGGGTAGCTTCTTACTTCGGGCCTGCCCAATTTCCCTGTCCAGGAGGTAAGGGGCAGAGCCTCCTGAAGGCAGGGGCCAAGGGATGGAATGCTGTTATGAGTGTCACTTTCCTTGCCTGCTCAGTCTACACAGGGGAAGACTCTGCCACTCCTATGTCACAGTAGCTGGACACTTAGGCATGGAAACAGAAAGGCCACAGTGACTTGGCTGAGGAGAAATGTATTCCATCACTGTGCTGAAGGCTGAGATCTCTGGAGCTTCCAGCTATGCTTGCCATTCCTTTGCTGGGAGAAGGGTCCTGACATGATGCCTGTGTCTCTGGATCTCTTCTGCTCATTTATGACTCAGATGTCATTAGGTTTAGGACCCCGCTACATCAGGATGACCCCTTTAATATCACAAAAGAGTAACCCTTATCAATAGGGAGAGGGGTCAAGACTTCAGTGCATATTTTGGGAGGACAAAATTCAATCCATAGCTCTTCTGTTTTCTGTTCTTTATTTTTTCATCTTTAAAACCCAAGTCATCATGAGACCCAGTGACATGTGGGCACTATGGACATTGAATGCACACGGAGGAGAGCATAGCAGGCTTCCTGACACATAGGAGGCACGCTGTGTGTGTTAACTGGCCTCAGCTCCGGTATTGGAGACTCAAGCCAGCGCAGGAGATTCCTTTCATAGATTTCTTCCTTCTTGGTTGAATGCAAAGACCACCATGCTAAGTACAAGATATTAAGAAAGCAATGTCTCATCCCTTCCTGTACCCACCTGCCTCACTGTGTTAATCTAAAACTTTTTATTGAAAGGCCATCATGTCTATAAACATTTTTGAAACTGTGTTATAGTTTAGGCACTTGAGCAGATGCCGGGACAGAGACTTCGTCTTACATCCTTTGGACATCTTGTCAGGAGCGACCAGTCCTTGGAGAAGGACATCATGTTTGGTAAAGTAGAGGGGAAGGCATTCAAGGAGATGGATTGACACAGTGGCTGCATCAATGGGTTTAAGCATAGGAACAACTGGGGGGTTGGTGAAGGACCATGCAGTGTTTCCTTCTACAGTGCATAGGGTCCCATGGGTCTTTAAGGGACCCCACTCGGTGGCACCTAACAACAATGACAGTAGGGACAGAGACAAGAAGCCTAAAACGGCGCCCCCAAGAACTCACTTCTTCTCCCATCATTGACACAAGCCCTGGCCAAATGGATGGCATAGAAAGTCCACACTGTGTAGCAGCATCAAGCCAGCATCGTTACAGAGTCACTTAGAAGCTTTGCCTACTTGTACCCCAGTGTCCCCACTTCACAGATGAGGACAGTGTAGCACGGAGACACACCATGTAAGAGGCTGGAGGAGATTCAGAACACTGACAGTGTTAAGTCCAGAAAGGGGATCTTTAAAAGTATGCTTTTAAAATGTGTTTGTGAGGCGAATAGACAGCAAAACCCACACCTGTCCCCTTCAAGTTTCGGCACGTACAGTGACCGGACATGGACGGCGGCCTTCAAGCTATTCAACTCTTCTCACCCGCCTTTCCCAAGACGTCCCTCGCCTTCATCACAACTTGCTGCCCGAAGCTGTCCTCGCTTCAGTCTGTGTTGTCGCTGTGATCCCGCTCATAGGCTGTTCTTCAAAAGCCCAATGCTGAAGGTAGGCATTCTTCACCAGCTCAGCCAACGTCTTGTTTGGTTTTAAGGAAACTTTAGAAGGCATTTTTGGTTTAAGGCTTAAAGATGACCTTAGCCCAATAATTCCCCGGGTTCGCCCAGCCTCCGTGACTCCAGACAGTCTGGATTCCATGAGATGAAACATTCTGTTCTGCATTTTGCCCCCTTTGATCAGGCTTATTCTGTGGACTCTTGGATCAAAATGTA